CATCATCATCATCATCATCATCATCATCATCATCATCATCATCATCATCATCAACGACAATGTTCGGGATTGCTTGGTGCAACAAGAGGATTGTGGAGACAAAAGGGTGACAATCATAAAAGGGAGGAAATAAATCACTATGGACTGCACTCAGGGGACAGTTGGTCCAGGTTCTCAGTGTGAGCTAGTTCTATATCATGCGCTGTTGGGAACAATCATCATCTGAAGCAGTGTTCATCTGACCGACCGCTGCAGGTTGTCATGGATTTGCTCAACTACATCATCAGCAGCCGTCGTTTGTCATCAGCTGCTGTCAAGTGTCATCATCGGCCTCTGTATGTCATCAGTCACTGCCATATGCCACCATCTAGTGTCATCAGTTACTGTCATATGTCATTTGCCATTGTCACATGTCATCAACCACTGTCACACGTCATCAGCCACCATCATGCTCACCAGCTGCCATTGTGTGTCATCAGCAACAATCACATGTCATCAACTGCTGTTATGTATCATCAGCAACTATCACATATCACCATCTGGCATTATGCGTTATCAGCTGCCATTATGTGTCACCAGCCACCATCTTAATCATCAGTTGCCATCATGTGTCATTAGCCACTGCTATGTGTCATCAGCCACTGCTATGTGTCATCAGCCAGAGGTGCTTACCAACTGCCGTTATTTGTCACCAGCCACAGTAACCATCATCAGCTGCCATTATGTGTCAGCCACAGCTAAGTTAATGCTCATCTTACACACATGTAGGTGCAGAGGGGAAGAGGTTTGGCTACTTAAGTCTTATTTTCCAGCAGAGACCAGGGTCACATATCAAGTGCATCACTTAATCAATAAGCTTAATTTTAAGGCCATTTGGATGACTCTTTACATGAAGTCATAGTCCTAAATTATGTTTGCATTAACAGTATTAGATGGTGTCACTTATGTCTAGAACTTCTTGTAGTAATGATATTTCAGCCAAGGGTAATGTTGTTATATTTTTGTCGTATACTGTTTTGTTTTTTTTCTTTTGGCTCTTGTGACCGATGGGTTCTGTCGGCATGTGGGTTTGTTTGTAAGGGTGAGACACACATGCTCTTTCCATGTCCGGGTTAGTGTGTGATGGTGCAACCTACAAACTCTGTCCACCTCTGGGGTAGTATGGTAGTGCAACACACTTATGTATAATGCTCTGCTTACTTCTGTGCAAGTGTGTAACAGTGTGAGACAAGTGCTCTGTCCACTCCTGGGCTATTGTGTAACTATGTGACACATCGTTACCTCAGAATTACAAAGTTCTACCAGACATTTTTTACTGTTACTGTTATGACTTATTAATACCATGCGGTTAGAAACCAAATGTTCTGTCTGCTCTATCAAAATCATAAGACTATTTGGAGTCATTATCAAGATATTCAAAGAATTGCATTTGAGAAAAGCTTGACATGCTGTGAAACTCTAAAATTTTTTACACCGAATTTCTCAAAACTAGGTACTGAGCAGATTGAACTTTGTAATTCTAAGGTAGTGACATGTATTCTGATTCAAACTGATTGTCTGGATAATTCTACTGTTACAATGACTAGACACACACTGGTTGTGAAGGTTTAACTAAAGTCACAAATGGAAAAGAAACTATCAGAGATAAAATGTTGGTGGTCATGGTTCTGCCTTTCATCCGTTGCTGACTTTGATGATTTTTTTTGACAAAGAAGAGACAAAATATTCCTGTAGAGTTGTGGTAAGGCGCTGTGGTCAGTGTGAGTGTGAGACAGAAGTTGGACCAATCAAAAGCTGTTTGGTTCATCATGTTGTTATGGTACTGTTAGTGGTTAGGGCCAGGATTGGTTTTCTATGTGTGTGTGTGTATGTATGTGTGTATGTGTGTGTGTGTGTGTGTGTGTGTG